CATATTTTTATTTGTAACAGAAAAGTTCATTTAATTGCATAATAATGTCTAGCATTAAAACAAGGCGTCATTTATGAAATATTAAATATCTTTAATAATGTTTTAAGATGTAATTTTTTAATGTAGGGAAAAAACGGAAATTTTAGGTTAAATTAAATTTTTTGCTGTAAAGTATAAAATATATATTTCATATATTAAGGAATCGAAAATGGAAACTAATTTAATATTTTTATTATTTTTCATTATACATGTTATTTTATATAAAATAAAAATAGTAATTAGCTCTGTTGAACTTAATGATTGTAAACAAAAAAGGGCTATACGAGCTATATTAAACAAAATGCAGTTGTCAGATGGTATTAATAAAATTCATTTAAAACGAGAAAATAAATACATAAGAAATAAACATATATGCGAACGTTTCGGCTGACATTTCAAGCCTTCTTCAGCGCAATACAAATATTTTAATTATAAATTGAATTGTAATATTAAACATTAAAAACGGTAATTAACAAAGTCAAGATAATAAATATATAAAGTCAGTTTTTTCGCATATATGTTTATTTCTTATGTATTTATTTTCTCGTTTTACATATGTAATGAGACAAAAAACTGACTTTATATATTTATTATCTTGACTTTGTTAATTACCGTTTTTAATGTTTAATATTACAATTCAGTTTATAGTTAAAATATTTGTATTGCGCTGAAGAAGGCTTGAAATGTTAGCCGAAACGTTTGCATATATGTTTATTTCTTATGTATTTATTTTCTCGTTTTAAATGAATTTTATTAATACCATCTGACAACTGCATTTTGTTTAATATAGCTCTTATAGCCCTTTTTTGTTTACAATCATTATTTTATATACTTGTAAAAATTGTATTCTACACATATTAATTTATACATAACAATCTTCTACACAATTTATTAGAGACGGAAACATTTATTGTACATTTAAATAACATTTTATAGCATCTATAATGAATTATATCATTTTTATTGTGAATTTCACTAATAGTCGATACTCTACATAATATTATGGACATACATGTACATATATGCCATAGTCTCGCATTGCAGTGGCCTATTTAATGCAAGTTACATATTTACGCATGTGCATCAATCTGGTCATACGTCTGCATGTAAAACTGTGTGTAAAGCTAATGATGTGTGTATGCGTGTTTTTCATCGCATTTCATTCATCCGCAGCGCAGAGTATTGAAAAAATAAATCATCATAATACTCTCTTTTTTATATCAGATTTTACTTTTAATAAGAATAAAAAATTCTAAAAAGAGAGAGAAAGAGAGAGAGAGAATATATTATATTAATTTGCATAATTAAATATATATATATATTTTATTTAATATACAATATATTTCATATAAAATATATAAATACATTGAAATATCTTCTAATTTATGAGTGATAGTACATAATACACTGGTCAAAAAAATTATCGCAACACGCAATTAATATCAAAATTTCGCGTAAATATAAATAAGCGTATCTCCGCGAAAAATTATCGTATTTGAAAAAAATTTTTTTTTGTTTTAAAGGGTGAAGTTTCTACTTTAAGAAACTTTCGTTCAATTTTGATTTTATCCTCTCCCCCTCTCTCCACCTCTTTAAAAAATAAGGTGTTTTTTTTAAATTGCAAAATTTGGCGAATTCTACGGGGTAAAATAAATTTTTTTGCAAATCTTATCCTAATTTTTATAAAATAAGGATTTTTTCCTACAAATTAAAAAAAAATTTTGACAAAAAAAACACCTTACTTTTTAAAGGGATGGAGAAAGGGGGAGAGGATGAAATCAAAATCGAATGAAAGTTTCTTAAAGTAGAGACTTCACCCTTTAAAACAAAAAAAAATTTTTCAAATACGATAATTTTTTGCGGAGATACGCTTATTTGAATTTACGCGAAATTTTGATATTAATTGCGTGTTGTAATAATTTTTTTGACCAGTGTATATATATTGTGCAGAATAATTCGCGATTTTTTACGAAACCTTGAGCATATATAGCGATACTGCTTCGTATGTTTACTCGAGTTTGCACGTGGCTTTATACGAACGGTATGCTATGTAAGTGTGCATGGACATCGGCAATCCGAAGTTGGTTCAGGCGCGCACGTGTTCTCATCGAGTCCCCTCCATCACATAAATTTACGAGCTGTTTGATGCAATTTACGAAGAGTGTATGACCCGACATCTCGAGGGTTTGTGTCATCCAATGAATTTTGCGTTAAATCGATCGTAAAACGCCTAGCTGTTGTAATCGCATGCATTTCATCTGGAATATTGCATCGATTTTTCATATCGTCAACAAATACTCAGCACGAATGAATCTCGTCATCGGAGAGTGCTGCGATTAATTTTTTTTTTTTAAAGAAGAAAAATTCTGATAAATTGTTCTTAAAATTTGCACTTTGAGATTTCTTTCTGTGTTTTCTCGCAAATTCTTATGATACGTTATCTCTAGGATAGTGATATAATTTATACAAAGAACGTTCGACAACTCAAAAATTTAAAAAAATCTGAAACTTGGCATAATTTTAGAGTAATAGTAATATATCCTAATAACAAAACCATTTTTTGTGCTAAAAAACGAGTTAAGGGTGCAACCAATCATTAGAAAATCTGTTTTCGAAGCGAATATTATCGTGACGAATAGAGATATAAAAGATTTAAATGTTCAAACAAAAGTTTTATGGCTTTCAATGTATTTACAAAATGGCGTATTTGGATTTTTAGAAAATGATAAAATTTTTTTAAATATCCACACTACTCAATATTTTTTTATATTTTGAAAAAAAATTTTAAATTATATATATTTTAAAGCTTATGTGTTACACCAAAGTCAACCATGTATAATAAAGTTATGTTGCGGAAATTAATTCTTGAGAAATAAAATAAAGACGCACGCTATCTGCCTACTACACTTATTTATTTACTCACAGAAAACAGTATCCTTGAGAGAATGCAAATATGCCTTGATTCAAGTATATTTTATCCTTATAATAGCGCCAAATATAAATAATTTTGGATAAAGGATAATTTATCCTTAAAACAAAGTGCAAAATATTCTTGGTTGAAGCTGAAATTTACTTATAAATATTGCAAGAACAAGTGACAAGTGTGCATTAGATATAAGCGGTACTTTCAAATATATATAATAATTCTTAGTTCAAATGTGACTAAGTTTGTTTTTACCATATGCAATTTTTAAAACAAAAATATATCTTAAGGATAAAATATACTTTACACAAACTTATTTATTATTAAGCAAATGAAAATTTGTGATTACAAAGAGCATTCTATGCTTAAATCAATTAAATAGCGTTCAAGAATAAAAATATACTTGAATCAAGGATTCCTTTTTTTCTGTGCTGTTTCATAACGACTATCTGTTTTTCCTCTTTCCTTCGTAAGTTCTCACAATACATATTAAAGATACTAAATATTAATCTGTTTTTTCTGTTTCCTTTGTAAGTTCTCACAATACATATTAAAGATGCTAAATATTAATAATTATAGTCTAGTTGTATAAATATAATATTTCAATACTACATATATTTACATACATTATACTACTTTTATACGTTGTACATAGTGCGAAAGATATTTTTCTTTTCAACATTTTCTTAACAATATCATTATTATAACAATTATATAGAATAAATAATATTCCAATATTACAGACGTTTATTCTATATTTATATTATTATTATATAATACATGTATATGTAGTATAGAAGTATTATGTAACTAGACTATAAATATTATTAATTATTATTTATTAAATATTATTTAGTATCTCTAATATGTATTGTGAGAATTCATGAAGGAAAGAGGAAAAATGATAAGTTATGAAACCGTGAACAAAAAAGTGTATCAGGCAGACAGCGTGCATCTTTACTTTATTTTTCAAGAATTAATTTCCGCAACATAACTTTATTATACATGATTGAATTTGGCGTAACACATAAGCTTTAAAATATAAATAATTTAAAATTTTTTCAAAATATAAAAAAATATTAAGTGGGGTAAGGGTATTTTGAAAAATTTTATCATATATTAAAAATCCAAGTACGCCATTGTAAAATACATTTGAAGCTATAAAACTTTTGTTTAAACATGAAATCTTTTATATTGCTATTTGTTTCGATGATATTTGTTTCAGATGTAAAAATCGACTTTTTAGTGGTTGGTTTAATCCCTAAATCCGTTTTTTAGCACCAACAAAAATGATTTCGTTATTAAGACCTATTACTCTAAAATTATGCAAGTTTCAGATTTTTTAAATTTTTGACTTGTCGAACGTTCCTTGTTAGTTGTAATGGACTCATGTGTGCATACTCGGTTTCATGAAAAATATTAATTTTTTTATAAATAATATGTACATTTTGCACTTACAAGTAATGACATGGAATAACTAAACATCGATTAATCTGTTTAATCAACCAACAATTTGTTAATGATTAAGCAATTTTTGTCGAGGATTTTCGCACGTACGATTATACAGACAAACACTCGATTAACAACAGCGCTACGAAATGCACTTATATAAGGCTCTAATTGCTTATAGGTATAAAAATACTCTCATTGCTTACGCATTAAAAAAGAAAAACGTAAGCAATATTGGTGATATATTTTATTTATTCACAGTTTTAATAATTTTACAATAATAATTGATCAAAAAGTCAGTCGAGCTGACATTTTAATTTTTACTCGATGTCAAGTTCATAAGTATGCGCTCTTTCATAATGATTAATTGTTTTTTATTCGTCCAAACTATCGATTAATAAAATGTCGATAGTGTCCAGCGTTGTAAAATATATATTTTAAAATATTTTAACATATTTTTATCTATGCGGAGCAAAAATTAATAACAAATGTAGAAATAAAAAATTGAACAATTTGTTGTACTGCTCAGATTCATTGCGCAACTGTTACTTGACGTAAGCGCAGTATACATATAAGAGAGCTCCTTTTTCGTGCTTACATTTTACAGTCGAAGATAGAGTGTGTTGCGTGGAACTAAGTGAGTGAATGGAACATATATTACAGTATATTAATAACAAAAAAACACCAGAAAATGTGGTTGTTTAAGGAAATGTGTACAAGTGTAGTGCGTCTTGATGGCAAAACTGTAGTGATAACTGGAGCAAATAGCGGTATTGGTAAGGAAACTGCCAGAGATTTTTATGGAAGAGGTAAATATCATAAACGATATTAATTATACATAAATAAAATATTTTTTATTTGTCCTACAACTTTCAAATTATATAAAGTGAGAATTATAATTAGACAAGATTTTAGAATCATAATATAGAATACATTATATAGAATTTTAATATAGAAAAGTAAATTTTTTAATGTATAATATAAATAAAATATAATTTTTTCGGTTGTTTCGAATATTTATTTTAATTATAACGAAAGTTTTCTAAATAAATATTCAATCGTAATTAAATGTATGCGCACATTTAGGCGCTAGAGTAATTATGCTCTGCAGAAATTTGGAACAGGCAAACGAAGCAATTGAAGATATAAAAAATAATCCACCTTCAAGGTAAATATGTCATATATAAAAATATGTCATAAGAATTAATTAAATTAGCGGTAATTATTTATTTTAGGGTCTGTATTAATTATAAATTATTTACAAATTAAAATGAGATCTTTCTTCTTTTTCTTGTTTTACTTTTTTTGTTTTTTATATAAAAAATTTATATTTATTTTAATAAAACTTTCGCGCAATGAAGAAGATAATATAAGGAAACTATCTTTTGTATTTTTTAGAATTAATAAGGACAAATATCAAAGTAATGCAGGCCAGCTTGTGACTTATTCCCTTGATCTATCGAGTTTGGAAAACGTGAGAGAGTGCGCTAAAAATTTACTGATGAAAGAAGCATTCATTCACATACTTGTAAACAATGCCGGTGTGGCTATGCTTCCATATGAAAAAACGAAGGATGGAATTGAGATGACGTTTCAAGTAAATTATCTTGGACATTTTCTTTTGACACTTTTATTGCTGCCAAAAATGCAATTGTCTTCTCCTAGCTGCAGAATAGTCAATGTATCATCATTTTCTTACATGTGTATGTAACAATATCGACATCAGTGTGTAGCATTTACAAAAAAAATAAGAATATTGTTAATTAAACTGTGTTTATTAATTTTAAACATACTTATAAGAGAAACGTTCTATTGCAGTTGGCGATATATATTTTGATGATATTAATCAGGAAAACTCGTATACATCTTATAGAGGTTATTTCCAAAGTAAATTGGCAAATATATTGTTTACGAAGGAACTCGCTCATCGATTGAAAAGTAATACTAAAAAGAGATATATCTTTTGTAATAATTCGCAAACGGTTATTCTTTTTCTTGTGTGTGTTTTCTTGTGTGTTAACTGTGTAATTATATTAATAATTTTATAAAAGAAAATAGTAAAACGAATGAATTAAATAGATAGATAGATATAGAATAAATTAAATAAAAATTAAATAAATAAAATATTTTAATTTACAGAAGCAGATATTCATGGGATAAACGTATATTCTTTGCATCCTGGTTTGATACCGACAAAAATAACACGGAATTTTAGTAACACCTTATTTCCAGGTGCAACTTTTATTTATAATTTTTTGACATGGCTATTGTTTAAGTCTCCCGAAGAAGGAGCACAAACAACGATATATTGTTCAGTCGATGAAAAAACGGCTAATGAAACTGGACTTTATTATTCGTAAGGACATACTATTTATTATAATGTATAAGTTATTTATAATATGTTAGATAAGCTTTCTTTGTTTTTTTTCTTTCTTTATTATATAGAGATTGCAATGTCAACATTCCACGATGGAGAGCAAGAGATGATCAATACGCTAAAAACTTATGGGATATATCCTGCAAGCTTCTGCATTTAGAGCCAGAAGAAAATTTGAATACATTTTTGCAAACCGTTTCACGTCAAATGTTGTAAAGAAATATCTCTAAAAACTCACCTTTAAAAAAAGGTAAAAAAGGCGACCAGTTAAGGGCAAGCCATTAACAAAAATTATTTATTGCAAACCCATGTAGAATCCTATATTGCAAACCCATGTAGAATCCTAGGCAAAATTAACCATTGCAAACCCATGTAGAATCGTACCCATTGCAAACCTATGTGGAATCCTATGAAAAATTAACCATTGCAAACCCATGTAGAATCCTATGAAAAATTAACCATTGCAAACCCATGTAGAATTGTATTAAAAATTATCCATTGCAAACTTATGTAGAATCCTACATTGCAAACCCATGTACAATAGAATTGTATGAAAAATTATCGATTATAAACCCATGTACAATCGTAACAAATGTAATGAAATAAAAAAAAATTGCGACAAGTGAAAGTAGAAACTTGTACCAGTGGAAAATTAAAGTTGCAGACATATATATAGTCGTATAATGAATCAGTAAAAATTTAAATTTGCAAATGTAGAATCGTACCATAAAAAAACTTATCTTTTAAAAAAAAAAGATAAACAAGATGCCAAGTCCATTAATATAAAATAAAAAGAAATAAAAAAATTGTAGTTAAAAAAACTGGGCGCGTTGCTAAGTTTCAAAATTACAATGCACCTTAAAGTAACATTAATTAATTTAAACACAAAACATATTTTAACTGCAATGAGTTTAAAAATAACAATTTAATTTTAATATCATTAGAATATTATTTAGCAGCGCGCCCAGTTTTTTTAACTATAATTTTTTTATTTCTTTTATTTTATATTAATGGACTTGGCATCTTGTTTATCTTTTTTTTTTAAAAGATAAGTTTTTTTATGGTACGATTCTACATTTGCAAATTTAAATTTTTACTGATTCATTATACGACTATATATATGTCTGCAACTTTAATTTTCCACTGGTACAAGTTTCTACTTTCACTTGTCGCAATTTTTTTTTTATTTCATTACTTTTGTTACGATTGTACATGGGTTTATAATCGATAATTTTTCATACAATTCTATTGTACATGGGTTTGCAATGTAGGATTCTACATAAGTTTGCAATGGATAATTTTTAATACAATTCTACATGGGTTTGCAATGGTTAATTTTTCATAGGATTCTACATGGGTTTGCAATAATTAAATTTTCATAGAATTCCACATAGGTTTGCAATGGATACGATTCTACATGGGTTTGCAATGGTTAATTTTGCCTAGGATTCTACATGGGTTTGCAATATAGGATTCTACATGGGTTTGCAATAAATAATTTTTGTTAATGGCGTGCCCTTAACTGGTCGCCTTTTTTTACCTTTTTTTAAAGGTGAGTTTTTAGAGATTATATCATTCATTTTTGTATATGTATATTTTCTCGCCTATTTCTACAGGGGGTTTAGGGGGAAATAAGCGAATTTAATAATTTCGGATTGAGATACATTTCCTGAAATAAATAAATCTTAGCAGTATGCTAAGAAAAAATTCATGTTTGCACATTATCTAGTAATTTAATAATTTAACATAAAAACTACATGACCGATTTTGATAAAATCTTCACCAGTACATTTGTATGAATATAGTGTGAATTATTTATGCTACAGCGTTAAATTATAAAATTATTGTAAAAATTATAAAGCGTAAAGAACATATTTTTCTGTACGACAAGCACATTTTTAGAAGTTGCAAGACGATTGCATATAGCCTATGTTACTTAGGAAGATCTAACTACTAGCTATTCAACAGAGAAAGATTTTTTTCAAATCGCCGATTGAGCAATTTCCGAGATTACCCCGAACAATGGAACAAACAAACTTTACCTCTTTATATATTAGTATAGATAATTTGCAATTTAATAATTAAATTGCAAATTACATAAAAATGAATAAAAACGTTAATAGACCAAATTTAATTATACAATTGATTTATATAATTTTTCTACTGTATGCTAAAATTGAATATAAACTTTTTCTTATACTTAAAATAGTTTGATTTAAAAAATTGTATGCATTTGTTTCTAAATAAGAACCAAATGGTTATGCCAGTCCTAATTTCCTAATTGTTATTCTGTATGTCTAGTACATACAAATCGAATATATATACTACAGTGTTCGCAGACACATGTCTAAGAGCAACAATTGAACAATACATATCACATGAATATCTGCAAACTGTATGCGAACAAATATTTTATACATGAATGCTATTTTTCGCTCGAAATGGAAAACCAAGGAAGAGATAAAATAATTCGTATTCGCACAAATAAATATTTTCAAACACAATTTCCTTTATCAAGCAGTAAATTTACTTTAATTGTAAATTGCTAATATAATAAATGTTCTCGAACCAGGCAGTCTTTTTTTTATGAAGACACATGACGATTAAGTATGAGTGAAATATATCGACTGTGCACAATCCGAAAACGGTGAATGTAGACATCGTCTATAAATTATTTTTCGCAGTCTACATGTATATAGATGCTGGACAAAAAGATATAATAAGACGGCAGGTAGAATAAGTTAGAAGATAGAAGTGTGAATGCTAATTGACTTTAATATTATTTTTTCAAGCAAAGTTTTATTTTATTGAAATATAATTATGCAAATATTAAGAGTTTTATCATCTTCCCGCTCAATAAAATATGCTAGATGTTGAACTTTGTTTCGCTAGAAAAATATGGGGGGGTAATAAGTAATCTTACCTTAACTAAAATAAGTACACAATAAATAAATATACAATTTTATTTTATAAACATTCTATGCACAAAATGTGATTTAATGTTTTCTATGCAAAATAAGATTCATTATTTATTGCCTTATACATTTTTTTAAAATAATGTTTCCAGCATCTATCGTATCATATTTTCTTTGTAAAGTAAGATTATCGCATCGTAACAAGTCACAAAGCCAAATAGAGTCCACAGCATATAAATATAATAATAATAATATAAATAGAATAATGAAATACTTATTATTAGCATTTTCATATTTATATTTTTAAAATATGAAACTATCAATTATCAACGTTTATCGGTACTTTTTTCTTCATAACATATAGACATATATATTATATATAAATAAATTATGTCAAGGCTATCGAAAGTATGTTTTCTAATGTAAATAAATATCAAATAAATTCTTTGATCGAATTTGTCTCTAAATATCGACATCAATTTAGAGATGCACAATTTATTTTTTTTCTATTAATTTTCTATATTCATACAATAGGAACATTTATTATAAATATTCTCCTAAAGCCTTTCTTTATCAAAAAAAGTTATTCCATAAAAAATATAAAATTTAAAGATTGGTATTTATATGTATGTTATAAGGTAGCAATTGCCAGTCATGTATATTTTATATTAATTTTTCTAATTTAGCATAATTTTTCTATAATTTTTTCATCATTTAAATTTTGAAGTATAAAAAATTATATATGTATATAAGTACCGTCCCACTACCGTATCCCACTACCGGGTACCGGTACGCACTCACCCACGCACTCACAAATTTATCGACCGATTTTCTCAAAATCGGTACCAAAATTTTCGAAATTTTTAGAGAATGGCTACTATATGATTTTTTTATTTTTACAACCCTACCCACTCACCCACAAAAATGTCATGTATAGAGAGATTTTGTAAATTAGAGAATTCTAAAATTGTGATATCTGGGGGAGGGAAAACAATTAAAAAAATTTTTTGATGTATTTCTACATAGCACAGACTTAGTTTGTCTGACCGCATATATGAAAAGATTGAATAAATTATAATATTTAATAATATGTTATTAATACATTATTAGATAACATTTAAGCCAGCGCAAAAATAATATATAAATTTAAAAAAATTAGACATGCTTTAAGGCCCGCGCGAAGTGCGGACCGAAAAGCTAGTATAGTATAAAGTATGAAATATGTATATAATATAAACGTTTTACGTCAAATATTGCAAGAAAATAATTTACATAAAAGAATTACATGTATATATAATGGTCTTATTAAAAAAATTAAGTTGATCTTGAAGACTCCTAAATTTGACAAAGAGGGTTATGGTTAAGATTCACTATAAAGCATTTCCCCCTAAACTCTAAAATTTTTGTATTCGACATTTTTTTTGTCATATTGCTTCTCTTTCGAGATAACTGCGTCAATTAATTAAAATATAACGACAAACAGAAGCAACAAAAAAGTAAATTATCAGAGCCGAAAATTAAAACATATATGTGTGTGTGTGTGTGTGTGTGTGTATGTGTTAAACGAAGTGATACATATGCGAAATTTACGATTCCTTGATTTGAGCTTTCAAATCAATCACCTAAGTATCACTAATTTACGGTTAATTTAAGGATTTTCAGTGTGCTTTAAAATAAATAATAAATAATTTTTATTTTCTAGTCCGTTATTTCTTACAATGATTTCTGGTAAGCATCGAATACTATTGAATGTGCCTTTTAACTTTTCTTTGTTCAAGATGTTTTTTCATTCGGTATAATTACAACTAATATGTAACATGACATTGTAGGGAATGTAACCTACATACATGTTACATGCAAAGAGGTTACATGTCATCAAATCTGACATCTGATCTGACACATATACCTAACATCATGGATCATGGAGCGACATACTATCGCCGTCTGTTGTAAAACGTGCGAGATGGACATTTCCAATGCATGCATCTATTCATGTGTTGTGTACGTGTGATATATGTGTGCGCATGTGTTGTATACGTGTGAATACGTGTAGCACGATACTACTATGTTTGCGTGGTCGATGATGACGGGGACGTTTCTTAAAAGAAATTTTTCATATTTCGACTTTGCAATTATATATCTCTGCTTACAAATCACGTAGAGCAGAAATAAAGACACTTTTATTATATAATTCAAACTCAATCTATCGATTAAGTTTAGTATAAACTCGATTGCTTCAGCCGTTATTGAGAATTCGAAATATTATAAAGAGTCAAATGTCCGACTCGCGTTAAGATACACGGTGTCTCGGCTACGCCCTTAACTGGTCGCGAGACACTGCCGTATCTCAGC